TGGTTTGAGGCCTGGACCTGGTATCTTGCTTTCTCACTTTTCTTTTCTCTGTCTCTCCCTGATGAGTTAAATACTAATAAATACAATTAAATAATTCTTTTAAAAAACATTATTCACAGCAATGTTCACTTTCTGTAGTTTTATGTTACCACTACCAAAACAGTTTGGTAAGTCTATCTACTATTTTAATGTAGTGAAAAGACTTTTAAGATATTTAAATACTCAGGAAATTAACCCAATTCTAAGTTTTAAATGAACTCTGCCTAAACTTAGACAAGTGAAATGACCTTCTGGTTTCTTCTGTACTTTCATTTGGAAAACTATGATTTTCATGCCTCCTGCCACCATGTGAAACTGTGCCCCCCTTCAGTGCCCCCTCCAAAGAGCAGTAAGTGCCCTTGTCTCTTGGGGCTCTGTAGGAAACGCAGTCGTCTTTGGGTGGGCTCCAGTCACATAAAATCACCTCTAGTGTCTTGGAAATGCTGGGCAGGAGACCCTCAGGCACGGGGACAGTAGCCAGCAGTGAAGCAATGCCCATCCTGAACTTAGGTGCTTCTGGAACCCTTGGCCTCTCACAGATTTACTTCTAGATTGTCAGAATCAGAAGTTAGAGGATTGCCAAATAAATTGAAAGGTGGTTTCTCTTGCAAATTTGAGTAAAATATGCCTGTTATATTCAAGCCACCCGCCTCTGTAGGAGAGGGAGCGAGCGCTTCTGTGGTGGTGATGCTGGGCTCTTCGGGATCTTAGGTGTTTGCCCGTCAGCGGCGTGTTTCCAGGCAAGTGATTGCCAGAGGTTGGTATTAATACACCCAGAGTTACAACTCTCTGGTTTCTCCTTTCCTCCTCCTCAACTCTTCTCCTCAGCAGCCCACCCCTGTCGCCTTGTTAAATAAGCATGTAGGCCATCCGGGAGAGCCCAGAGGAATGAGCGGTTTGGAAAATGAAGACTAGAACCGGCGACTGTTTACCCAGAGGGAGCCACTGTCCCCATTGCACAGGGCCTCGGGGTCTTGGTGACCATTATCCCCAGTTTACAGATGAACAAGTGGGATCACCCATGGTTCTTCCAAAAGGGCACAGACTCAGTCCTAGCCCCGAGCCCATGTCTTTCACTAGCCCTGCGTCCTCCCAACTGCCCACCTTATCGCTTATCTCCCGGAATTATGCTACGTTCCGCAACATTAACTTCGTCTTTCTGTCCTTTGTTTTTGCAGTGACAGTGTGATAAGCAGGCCCT